TGAAGTAACAAACACAGGACCTGTTTCTAATGTGCTTTCTGAAGGCTCATTGACTGTTGAGAATGTTACAGCTATTGTGCAGAATGTTGTGGATTTTCTCATGCATACTGGGCCTCTTCCTCCCATCCCTTCACCTTCATTTGGGAATGAACAAGAAGATGGCAAATTTGACCAACTGTTCACTTCACCTGGGTTTGCTTTCTGACCTCCTTATCAGTCAAGGAAAATCCTCACTCTTCCAATCTTTTTCAGGATATGATTTCTAAGATATGCTCCTTCCTTTCTCTTTTGCCTATGGCCTTTTTTTTGTCTCATTCTTTATTCCATGAAACCAATTCTTGGGATTACTTTGTATTTCTTCCTTCACCTGATATTAGAGTTCATACTGATTCCACACCCATAACCACATGCCTCATCTTCCTGACTCTTTTGTCCTGGCTTACAGCTTTTTTTCTTTCCTTTTCTAGATTCGCAATCTTTAGAATCTGTTTTGCCTGCTTGGTGAGAAAACCCATTGTTTCCTATTTTGCTCTCTATTGGCCAGGTTTTGCATCTTTGTCTTTTTCTTATAACCTTCCTGCAAGACCTCTCCTCCTTCCATCTTATGTCTGAACTTCATTGTGTCTCAGAGGGGTTTTATGGAGAGGTTTGTTTTCTTTTTACTTTCTTGGCACATATCACTTCTTGTTCTTTCTTACTTGGTTTCTCTGCTATTGGAACTTGTTGGATTGGGATGTGCTCCTCATTAATGTCCACTTCCCTCTTCCTTATCTATGTTATCTTTGTTAGGCTTCTTTTTCCCCAGAAATTTACAGTAGCATTCTTGATTCCTTGAAAACCTGGGGTGAAGCAGGCTGGAATTAATCCTTATTATCTTCCCTAGTTTCTCAACTTTTTCAACATCTCCTTTTGACCCCTGTTCCTCAAAGAGGGTCATTCTACCCCTACCCTTCCCATTCCAGCTTCCTCCTCTTCCCAATGTCAGGTTCATCACTTGTCTCATCAGTGACTGTCCTGATGGGTCTGACCTAGTGTGTTCCTATATGTCTAACTTCACCAACCTTTTTATCTCAGTTTGCTGCTAACAAATGAGTTCTTCAGATCCTTACCCATGGTTTCTCTCTCTATTTTTATTCTCTACACTTTCTCCCCTCTTCCCATGTCTTTTTCTCCCCCCATAGAACTTATATTCACTGTCTCAAAGATATAGTCTCATGTTTTCTGGCCAAAAACACAATTGAGAGGGTATACACCCTTTCTCTGGGTTTTTACTCTTGCTTCCTTGTAGTCCCCAAGAAGACCAGAGAACTGACTTCCAGTTATCAACCAATTGTCTCTTAACCAGTTTCTGGTTGTTCCACCATTCCAAACGGAGAATTTCTTTTCTCTCTGGTGGTCCCAGTCTGTGGATTACCAAGTTTGATGTTTCAGACACTGTTTTATTCATCCCAATTTCTCCATCCTCCAGACGTTTTCTATGCTTTATTCATCAGAATCAAGTCTTTCATTTCTCTGCTCTTCTCTTTGATATAGCCTTAGCCCCTTACATCTTTGATTGAATCACAAAGACCTTTGTTTGTCACCTTCAAGGACTAGGGCTGCAATTCCACCTCTACATGAACATTTGGCTTCTACTTGCCCCATCCAAGGAGGTGTCCTTCTTTTACACCTCCCATCTTACACAGGACACTGCTTGATTAGGATGGCTTGCCAAGCTTTCCAAATCATTTTTCATGCCAACACAGTATTTAGTACATCTGGGTTTTTTCTTTAACTCTCATCTCATTTAGGCTCAACCTTTACCTCTTCACCAGTGAGTATGAAATGTATGGTCACCAAGGTTTGCACTTCTGATTTTCATCCTGCATGAGAGGTTCTTTTGCTTTGGGGGACTATGTCTTTCCTGGAATCACTGTTCCTTTGTGTCCTGCACAAGGGGGCACTCACTTCAGGACTTAGCTTTCAGGTGTTGGATCTCCTCTTCATTGAGTTTGCCTCTTTGCTTGTCATGTGTCAGATTGCTTGTCTTTTCCAGACTTCATTGTGCCCACAGAGTGGCAGGTTTTTGTTGGGTGTGCTCTTGATTTGGCATACCCCTCATAGGTGCCTTTGCCATACATAGTCCAAAGCTTCCTTTCTTCTGGTTCCCATTTCCTCATCCTTCAGCTATGGTTGTTGATGCTCTCAGCCAGGACTAGTCTCACCTTTTTGTGTATACCTATCTTCCTCTTTGACTCCTCCCTTGGGTCCTTACCTTGATACATGACACTCCTTGTCAGGCCCTCTTCGTGGCACCTCTTTGGCCAGCACAGCCTTGGTTTCCTCTACTTCTTTGATTGGCATCTGGGCCTCCTCTTCCTCTACCCAGTATCCTCTCACTATTGCTTCAACCCCATATGTCACTTTTTTCATACAAGGATATCATCCTTTCATCTTCACGTGTGGGATTTTTCCGGTCTCTCCAATCATGCAGCCTTCTTTTATCAGATTCCTGTCTTCCTTCTGCTTTGTCTGTCTACCAAAGGAAGTGGCAGATTTTTAATCATTGGTCCAACTGCTGCTCCCTTCCTCCTGGTCATTCTACTGTGACACGCATTTCTACCTCTTTCACTTGGTTGTTTGATCATGGCTCATCTATCTCCACAATCACTGGTTATCGGATAGCCTTGTCCACTGCCTTTCATCTTTCCCCTTACCATAGGGTGTTTTCTTATCCTGTCCTCTCCACTCTTTTCTGATCCTTCTTTTTTCACTGATCCCCTTGCCTGAATGGGACCTTAATGTGGTATTGCACACACTCTCACATGTCCTGTGTGAGCTGTTGGCTTCTTATTCTTCATAACACCTTTCTCTTAAGGCTTACTTCCTTCTTTATACCTGTTGCCTATACACTTGATGCTTCTTGCACTCTGTTTCATTGTGTTTATCTACTCCTCTGCTTGGACCAGTCCTTTCTTCCTAAGGCTTCAGCTGCTCAGCAGGGTGACCATTCTTTCTCTTCTATCTCCCTTCCTTCTAACTCTTACTTCTATGCTCATTCAGACCTGGGTCAGCTTTGAGGTCCCCATCATTGTCTGTTTCAACCCTGGGACTCCTCTTATCCAGAGTCCTCTCACCTTCTACCCTTATTAGATGGGTCTGTCAATTCATCTAGTTGGTGTTTTCTTTCCTGGATATTGATGCTTGAACACACTTTCATATTTTGTTACAATAGATTCATAACCTGTCTCATTCTCTTGCTTCTCATTTTTACCGGCCCTAGCCGAGATCCTCCAGGTGGGCAGTTGAACAACTTCCCACATTCAATGATGAAGAACCCATTTAGAGACTAATAATGCTTGGAGACAGCTTGAATGGGTAATGAAGAAAAACTTTAATATAAGTTTAACAAAACAGCACATGTTCATCACTCATTATCTTCTTCTTATGGCTGTTTTGTCTCTCTTTGGATTTGTTCTCCCTCTAGTAAACATTCTTCAATCAACTCACTATCTTTAAACAGGTATGTTTTCTTTTTCTCTCTCCCTTTCCATCTACCAGGATCCTGCCAGATGGTTGATGTTTCCTCCCAAGGTATATTTCCCCAAATAAACATCAGGCCAGGGTTAATGAAAATTGCGCAGACCATCCACCCTGGCCCTACCAATGTCCGCTATTATAATAGAGTGTTCTGCAAGACCACTAGAGGTATTCTTGTGGTATACAAAATTACTCATTTGCCAGCATTGGGAAAGTAACTACCCACTTTGTCTCGTACTTGCCAGCTTTCAAAATAGGTTTTTGTAGTCACTTATTGCACTGTATCCAGTAAAAGACTGTTCTGGCAGTTGTCCAATGGGAATCCAGACCACTTCTCTGGGTCTATCTAACACCAATCCCCCCCCCCCCTCTTCAAGTGGAGCACAGGTAACCCTTGCCACTTACCAGTTCGTAGCCACTTGGATGATGAACCTTGGAAAGTTTCTCACTGATTGGACATAGCATAATACAGTGAGAAATATAGTGGTGATGACGTTGTCAATGTAGTGTAGGTCATCCACCAAACAGCTTGTGTACCCTCATTGTACAGCGTGAGTCTATCCAGAGTAAAATTTAATGAAGGTACAATGTTTCACCAGGTTAACCTGGCATCATCAGGTACATCAACTACAATGAATGAATTGAAACTACAAATATATATAATACAGCGCAAGGGTGCATTGAACTTTGATCGGGTAAATTTAACAGTAAGGTATGATATTTCCAGAGGGTGTTTATTGATATGGCTTGACTTCTTGAGGGTCAATGTCCGAAATCAACAAAATAGGAGAATATAAGTACTCTTTCAAAAATTTTAAATATTATAACAACAAAATTTATAAATTGAATACTGTAACTTGAAAATTGACCCTCAAGAAGTCAAGCCCTATCAATAAACACCCTCTGGAAATATCATACTTTAATGGTAACTTTACCCGACCATAGGTTAATGCACCCTTGTGCTGTATT